GTCAGTGATTTGGGATGAGTAAAAACAAAATTCAAAATGGTTTTCGGCACTGATGAACATTTTTTTTTCAGCACCGTATACTTCAACACTGTTCCGTTCATACTTTCAGAACATCTACGAGAGGACCACAAGCCAGAAAATGACAATTTTGTAACTCTTTTTCAAATGATGTTTGAACGGGAAACAAATTTGCCCGGTAACCTTCAGAGCAAAAATCCATTTTGCAAGCGGCGCTTTTAAAATTGGGTGTTTTTTACGCGCCAAATTACGCTTCACAAAAATTTGAAGGTGAAACCGAATAATATGAATTAATATACAATTATGTGATTGCTTTCAAATAACATGTACTAGTATAATATAAAACTTTGGAAAAATATCGAGACGTAGAGAAAAAATGAGCTGCAAGTTTTTAGCTTCTTAGAACAATTTAAACACTAGAGTTGTTGATTTCGCTCTTCACTTAATTAGTAGAGACTAAAAATTGTTTTCTTCATTCATTAAAATATTAACGACTAGTTCTTAAAAAGTCAATCACGATTTCCTTTGCATCAGGGGCAGATTTAGGGGAGGGGGCAGGAGGACTATACGGACGCCTTTTTTCTAATGGTTTCGACCCCCTGCCGACCCAAAGGGTCCCTCCCTCTGTACTGTTTTGAGACATCCATTTTTGGTGACAGAACCTAAAACTTTTCTAAAAGAGCCTTAGGCGCTAATATATACTAACTTTGCGGGGTGAACGCGCGCCAGAAAAAATGCAATTTTATGGTCAAAGTTATACAAAAAGTGCCTAAAACGCTTCTTTTGGCCTAATTTTTTTTCAAAATTTTGCCTGCTTCGCAGAAAAATTGATTAAAACAGGTTATTTTTAGTGCTTTGGGAGAGCACGGAACATAATTTCGGTCGACATTAAAAAAAAGTCGACAAAATTTTTGAAATTTATGAAAATAATTGTGGTCAAAACTTGTGCGATACCTGCAAAGCAATCTGCTGTTCTTGTTAGTTTCATGTCAGTGCTCGGAAAATTAATTTGATTGATCTAAAAAGTAAGATAAGAATTTTCGATTTTAAAAAAAAACACGCCAAGAACAACTTTGGAAAATTTTAGATTGGCCTGGAAGCTTAACAAAGTCTTCACGATGCAGTTTTCTCAGTAAATCAGCACCCAGCGGCTGTTTTTGCATCGCTCAGATTCAGAAAAAAGCCAAAATGAGAAAAAGGGCCAGAGTGTGTTTTCTAAAAATAACTCTGAAAGCCAACAGGCGTTCAAGGTTTCCCGTATTTCGGATAGAGTTTTCCGCTCGCCCAGCCCAGCTATTGATCTATTATCTAATTTGTCAATGCCATCGGGTCGATAAAAAGACCTTGAAAATAAATAACCTAAGAGTGCAATCGATATGAACCCATTTTGCAAGACTTCAGCCAGCGAAATGCTGGCAGTTTTTTAGAAACGGAAACAACCATTAATCAATTTTCATGATGTTTTTTACGCAATTTCCGCGGTGTGGGTGGAAACGAGAAAAAATCTGATAAAAATCATGAAGTGTTATGCAATCGAAATGTTTTCATGCTGATAAAAAGTGAAGATGTGGTGATTGTTTTTTATTTTAAGAAAGTGAAAATAGATCTTTGGGCTTTGTTGCCTCTGTTTTGTTAGAAGGAAGAGGCAATAAAAACAGATTAACTGAAGAGACCAAAATAATGATACGTCTGTTTATTAGCGATCCATGCTGAGACACAAATGAAGGCTTTTCTTGAATTTATGGATACTGATTCGTTTGCTTCAAACAGAATCTAGATCAAGTTAGGTTTGACTTAATTTTCAGTATCTATGACTTGATTAATTGAAAGCCACGACTGATTTTACGACAACCTAGTCTTTTTTGGGGATGGATTAGGGAGTTCTCGCTAGGGGAGAAATGAAACAAATCACTTTTTATACGCCGAGAAAAATGCAAATTAACAATATGAAAAAGCGCAGCAGAAAAATTGCGAAAAGAATTTTTTTTTTTTGAAATTTTGTGTGAAAAGTTCTTATTTTCATAGATTTTCTACTATAAAAATTTTAGTTTGTCCAAAATCAGTTCAGTTAAATACAAAAAAAATTACTTCTTTTTCTATTTATTTACACTAATTAAAGCGAGCAAGCATATTGTCTCTATTGTTCTAATAAAAACTTAGGGAAAAAAAACAAAGTACAGGGTGTTTTTCCGCGCAAAAATTAAGCCTCTCAAGTTAATGTCAACTTTGCTAGAGATCTATCAAAATAAAAATTTTTCAGTCTTGTTTCGATGTGTAAGGGGTTTTTTTGTTGAAAACAACCGGTGTCAGAAAAAGTTCTAGAACAATTTTCCATTTTTTGCTTTGCAGACCAATTTAAAGTGAAAAAAAACTGAACTTATTTTTTTTTCATTTTTAATTAAAAGCGGTTTTCGAAAAATGGTCTATTATATTCTGATAAAGTCTCATTTAATTTTTTTCCGGGATTCCCAAAACATTATGAAAACCTAAATTGTCAAAAGTTGTAGCACTGCTGGCAGTTTGTTGAGAAACTCGGGAAAAGGCGCTTTTGGCAAGCGCTTCCTCTGCAACATTGGCGCCAAAAACACCCTCAGAAAAATTAAGGGTTGTCGGTCAAAAATTTTTTGTGAAAAACTGTCAAAGGAAATCTTAAAAGTCCTTCTTGCCTCCCTCATCCTCTATACTAACATTGCCACTGATTTCTTATGACGTAAGAACATAGTTGGTAAATTTATATTTTTGTTTGTGTAATTTTTCTTGTCAAGTATCTCGTTTTAGTTTATGAGACAGAGGTTTGAACAGCATGTGCCTCCTCTCCGATGCAGAAACCAGATTATCATTTTGACGAAAAACTTAAGATTGTGGTTCATGTTCCGACAATCGTAACGAAAATGACGGAATATTTGTGCTCGGGGTGGTTTTTTTTCTTCAGACAAATTTTGACTTTTGAACTAGCCTCTCTTAACGAAATTTTTATTCAAAAAATTTTGTTGTCCAGAGCTTAAATTTGAAAAAATATTTCACCTGTGCGCGATATATTTCGCGCGATATATTTCGCTTTACTAACACCAACACGCAAGCGGAGATTTAGCCCGTCTTAGAAATCGTTCGAAATTGGTTGAAAGAAGCTTGTTTGCCGAACTAATGTGTTACTAGGAGCAAAATCGATCACTTGAACTTTTAAATGGCATGTGAGGGGATGATTTTTACAAAAAAAATTCTCAAATTAAAAAAAGCTCTTTTTTTATTACATTTAGTTTTTTTTAGGTTATTTTGCTTCATAGACCTAAAAAAGCAATCAGAATATTCAGAGCTTTGCTTTGATACGAGCAGTCTTGTTTTTTATGCAAACCAACTTCCGTTTTTTATTGACCATTTTTGAATGAAATTTTCATACCATCCGAAAGATATTTTGTGTACTGAGCGCAAAATATAAAGAAAACACTTTTCCCTTGCTGCTATTTTTGTAAAAAGTATGAAAGTTTGAAAAAATGGGAGTTTACCAATTTGGACAAACTGGGAAAATTAATGTGTGCTGTTTAAATAGTTTCTACTAACGCATAGCTAAGCTACTGCGTTTATATCAATCTTTCCAAATTGATCCGAGGCAACTAACTTGTTCCAAATAAATTGTTTCTATTTGAGATAAGTCATTTGTCATTACTTGTAGAGGTACAATTCAACAAAAAAGTGGTTGGATATTTTTAAACTACTGCAGAAATTTTAAATGGCAGCTGCAAAGCATATAATGGTAACCGTACAATTCACCCCAAATTGATTTAGGGGGGAGAAAATATGAATTTTTCAGGAAATAACTCTGAGTATATCTTAGATTTATAGAAAAACAAGACTGCTCGTATCAGGGCAAAGCCTTGAATGTTCCGACTACCTTTTAATGTTTATGGAGCAGTAATAACATAAACAACATTAAAAAAAAATAAAAAAAAAAGTTTCTTTCTAAAATTTGAAAATTATTGTACAAAAATCATCCCCCCACACGCCATATAAATTACAAAACAATAGATTTCGCTCCTTGTAACGAAAGAATTATGGCAACTAAGCGTCTTTCAACCAATTTGGAACGATTTTAAGACGAATTATTTCTCCGCTTACGCGTTAATAGCGCGAAGTATATCGCGCGTTCATTCTTCCAAATTGGCCAAAATGACAATCTTTAAACCCCCATAAATTTACAAAAAATGATCACAGGTAAAAAAATTTTCAAATTTAAGCTCAGGACAACAATAGCTTTCGAATGATATTTTAAAAATTCCGTCAAAAATGGCTAGTTAAAAAGTCAAAATTTGTCTGAAGAAAAAATACCCACCCCGAGCACAAATATTCCGTTACTTTCGTACCGAAAGTCGGAACGGAACAATAACAATTTGTTTAGCGAAACTTGATAAAAAACACGTTAGTTCATGTTATTAACAGCATTCAATTGAAATCCCACATAGACATTGTGACAACCAATAAGACTATTCATTTTTCAGACTCTTTTTTTTTTTAATTTTTTTTTCAACAAAAAACGCGAGTTACAACAAAAAAACTGAAAAAAATCAAAAAATCTGAAATAGTAGTTTCACAATATTTAATCTTTTTTTCTTGTTTTATATTTGTGATATGAAAACTTGCGGGTTCAGAGCGTTCTGTGCCTCTTGCTCAGCGAACCGCTATCCTGGTTTCTTTATGGAACGTTGGAATACATCAGAAAAAGGTCACTTGTTCTTGAGAGAAGATCAGCCTGATTTCATGGGTATCGAGTGGTTTTTTAGGATTGTCTTATGTGTTTCTTACTGCATAGACTCAAAGGATGTAAGTTTAACTATCAACACCCCCTCCCTGGTAACTAGCAAAGAATAACTATCCCTAAAAGGAAATATATCAAAGGTAGAGCATATGCCAGTTTGTACGTACTAATTAATCTTCCTCCCTTTTTTCAGTAGGGGTACGGGGGGAGGGTGGGGAATTGTTAAAAGGATCCGGACTAGAGATACCTGGACGTCAAATGGGAAATCGTATAACTCCATCTGTTCGTAGAAGTTTCCCTTGAGGTGCCAGCGCATGTTGAACTTGATCTCGGACCCCTGCATGGAGAAAGAGTACACTGTCCTCTCCTTCTTAGTGTCCTCCAAGTTTGTGATGAGCAGTTGGGGGATGAAGTCTTCGCACTGTTTCATCTCCTCTTCCGACTAAACAAATAATAAACAAACAAGTATAGAAAAAAAACACCCCCAAAATATGAAAAACTAAAAAACTAAGCATATAAAAAAACAAGATAGGCGGGTGCTGTGTAATATAATTATAAAAATAGGAGAAGCCGGATGATTTGATACTAGCACAGAAAGCTCCGACCAGATTCATAAAAAAAATTGTTTCTTTTTTTTTCATTATTGTGTGGTTGGTGTTTTATGCGTGGTGTCATCAGAGGACCCGGAAAAACGCTTAGATTGAGCGACTTAATAAGGCATAATATTACAGTTGTCTTCAAATATTGAAAAAAAAACTAATATGAGGAATTTGAGTTTTATAAATTAGTTATGAGCCTTTAAATGAAGTTTTGAAAATTAGTTTTCCCGGAGTACAACTATATTAAGTGGTCGAAAAAGTTAGTTTTTTTACGACTTTTTCACGCTGGCTTCACTGGCTTAAAATTAGTCTAAAGGCAAAAATTTCAAACTAATTTTACTCGATGTTGACAATTTATTTGACACTTTTTTTATTTTGCTCGAATTATGATTTAGAGCGCTTTAATATGATATGCTGTGTGATTCATTCTGATAAATGTTTATGGTACCTGATTTGACTTTAAATAATACGAAAAAAACTCTTTGGTATGATTTTATGACATCAATGTTTGACAACCGAAGCCAAAAAAAAATTTAAAGGCGGTTTTGGCTCCAATCTATACTAATTTTGAGAATAGAGAGCGCGCTAAAAAAAGCGTTTTTAAAATCTGTCAGAAATTCTCCAACGGCGCATTAAATTAGTGTTTTGAGAGCGGTGAAAATATATATTTCTTAGACCTGATTAAAAAGTTCGCTGGGAAAATTGTAGATTCGTGCTTGCTAATAACACAAAAGTGTCAAGATTGTCAGTAATTCTCATTGTTTATTATTCAATATACAGTAAAACAAGAAGATTTAAGGCTCAACTTAGAGATCGTCTGATTTAAAAACAATTTTAAGTCAGACGATCTCTAAGGCCAGCGGATTTCTCTGTCAGTTCTTAATTTATCTTCTAAACAATCATAAACCTAAGAAAACCCTTCCAGCCGACATGTACGATTGAACTCCATTCTTGAAAATGGTTCTTACATGGAAGAGTTTGTGGTTTACTTTGAACTAGAGATATAAGGTTCATCAAAACAATTTTTTATGGTTTTCTCTCATATTTCGTTTGGTTTTTTTTGGCCCTAATTGTTCCGACCATTGAAAATTAATATTAAGAGGCATAATAGTGTTAAGGCGTTCACTTTGAGATATTCAGATCGTGTAATCGATACCCTGCCATAGCAATGATAGTGTGTGAGGACGTGCTCTCGCTTGACCTCTAGCTTCAGATCTGCCACAGCCTGACCGATTACGGCTGCAAGAGTGCTACCACGTGAAAATTCAAGACGCAAAACCGGCCTTGGGTCGCAAGAAATAGCTTTGCTTAACTAAATAACTCAGTCAAGAATGTGGGAGAATAAGAGAAATGGACTATGTGTAGACAGGCTGGATAGCCTTTCATAGATCCTCTGCGAATCGCAGAAACCACAATTATTATTCGGGTGTGTTTTATTTTTTTTTGGTTCTCCACGCAAAATTAGGAACCACAAATAATCATCGGAATGGTCAAACTATATGTCATATTAAAGCCCTTTCAGTCGTGACTCGAACAACCTTTAAAATTTTTTTAAAAAACTGTCCGGTGTCAAGAAAAACTGGTTCGAAAGTTTTGAGGTTCAGTCTGTTCTCGATTTAATATAGTAAGCAGGCAGGTTTGCAATAGCTTGTAAAATTTAGTTTTACTTAAGTGAAATCAGCTTTAACCGCCACTTTGGGAATCAAAAACTCTGTTAAGAAAATTGAAAAAACTTGCAAATTTTGTGTTGTGACTTTTAAATGATTTTTTTCCAGTATTTGTTCGACGAAAAACATTTGTCAAATTCTTTTTAACTGTCGAATATGATCAAGTTTTCATTTTTTTTTCACAATCTTTTATTACACCACGCAGAAAAAAGCAACCTATTTTGAGATTTTTTTGTATTTTTAAGACTATGGTCGTAACATTCTGTTCTACTTGTAGTGTTGTTTTGATTGCGCATAGCGTTTTGGTTGTCTCAACAACAAGAACTGGAAATTTATTTTTAGAAAAAAAGTTGTAAAATATAACTTTTAAAGAAAAATCCGTACATTTTAAATTTCGAGTAGTTTTTAAAAAGTAATTTAGAGCTGCAAACCTTTAATGACCCTAGGAAATTGTATTATTAGGATTCTTTATCAATTTTTATTTAAAATTTAATAAAATTTTCTGTTGCACGCTAAAAGTGTTTTGTATCACGCCAAAAATTTTTGGCAATAAGGTTCTTTTGGGCATTTTTTGTACCGTAAACAATTTTTTTCCAGCCTGTTCCGGATTCCGCAAAATTTTGAAACGACAGTTTGTCCTTAAATTGGGGAGTATTCGTTACAAAATACAAAATTCGGATTTTATTTATTGTTGATATAGTTCTCTACAGGACTGGCTATTTGTCCATAACGACCAAAAGGGGAGGAATATTTAAATAGAACTTTAGTTTTTCCAAAAACTGATAAACTACATGCCTTGTTTTGATTTGCATATTTACTGATTTCCTTTATGGAGGTCGACTGAATCTATCAAACGGCAGCCAAAAAATTATTTCTAACAACTTTGCTTTACAGTTCAATTCTAAAAAATGTCTGACCTATAAAGATCAATGAAGTATTTGAAAATAAAAATGGGACGCCATTTCCCGGAGGAAATCTCATCGCTCCCAGTAACCCAGATATTACATTTTTCGACTCAGTGACGATTTGCAATTTTGTTACACTTCATTAAAAGTTACCGTTGATGGATGATGTTATTTTGATACCGGTCGTAAAGAAACCAGCCCAAGTATAAACAAGCTACCGTATAAACCAGCCCAAATTTAAACCAGCTAGCATATAAACCAGCCCCAACAAACCTGCAGTTACTTAACAAAAAAGCAATACTTACGAAACAGATGAGTAAACCATGCAAATTTCAGTACTTATTACGGATCTTGTGAACTGTTCCCCCTTTTGCAAAAGGAGGAGGGTGAGGGGGGGGGGGTGCTTTGCAAGGTACAATATTTTTATGCTTTGTTGCTTTGTAGTTGAAAGCTGTATTTATAGTGAAGAAATTCATTACTTTATACCATGGGGGAAGGGGTAACAAGATTTCATATTACGCAACTACCGGCTGCATTACATAATCCGCTGGTTTTCGGTTTGTTTATAATTCGGCTGGTTTATTGAAGTGGTTTAATGACCATTTTATACCACTGTGACGTCAATGATGAACCTTGTGGATAGATGAAACAAGAAAATAACAAATCGCCTCTTAATTTGAATGTCTGCGTCTGGAAATTTTCACCTGGGACTCAAGTTATTAAAATTCATAACTGAACGAGACTACAGTACTCCACAAACTGACAGCAAACGCCCTTTGAACTGAAAATCACAAATCGCAGCAAAAAGAAATGATTATCCGACTTCAAAGTTAATCAACATCGGCAGGGCAGACCAAATGTGACTTCTGAAAGAATCGCTTTAACTATAATATTCCTTTTTTATCAATTAACCATCATTTTTTACAATACAGAATTTATAACTTTTTTTTCTGATGCAGGAATCATTTTTTCCGTTTATATATGTGCCAATACTCTTTTTTGAAGAGTATCGAGTAAAATTGTTCCTTTTAATCTTTTTCCGGAAAAATCCGGACGCCCCTCCCCCTCAGGGATTCGACCCCCTGCCGACCCAAAGGGTGCCCCCTTTGTACTATTTTGAATTTCTCAGTGAAGAATTTTTTTTCAGAAAAATTATCTAGAACCCAAAAAAAAGTTTTTTTTTTGCTTTTTCAGTTTTTGTTAAGTTGAACAATAAGCTTCGTTTTGAGTACTTTGTAGTTTATTTGCTTCCATAAATTATTCTATGAAAAAATTCCACCGATAAATTAATAATTCAACAACTTTTTTTGGCTCTTGATTTTTGTGAACATTTTTTGACTTTGGCACACTATTTTTCAGAGTTCTTGTTGGCTTTTTAAACATCAGTCTAAAATTTGAAGAACAAATATTGATTTTTTCCATAATTTATCAATTCTGCAGTGAATTGAATTGCAGGTGGCGTTGGAAAAAAAACTAAGAGTAATGCTCTTTTTCTTTTTTCACGATTGATTTGCGTGAACAAAATGGCGCAATAGGATACACTCTGAGTTTAAATCTGTCGCGAAAAGGAAATTGAGATATTCCGCCGATTTTTATGACTGCAAAACGGAAACGAGAATTTGAAATTCATGACACTTTGAAGTCAATATAGCTGCAGAATAAAGTAAAGTAAAAAAAATAGTCTTACCCGGTTGTTATGAGGCACAGAAAGATTTTTGGCAAAAAGTTTAATGAGGGTCTTTTGGCAAAATTTTTTGGTCTTTTTTTGGAATTTGAGGAGAGTTCGGTTAATCAATTTATAATTCCTATAAAAAAGTCGACAAATTTTTTGAGCATAATTTATTCTAACTTAAGAAGCCAAAATTTTATCCTTTTTCTTAGAAACGGTGGTGAATTAGAAACGGTGGTGGCGGTGATCGATCCCCTGACCATCCAAAGAGTAGCCAGATTGATACAGCAGAGCAAATCTTTGGTGTTTCAATATTATCAAAGCAATGTTTAGAACTGCAGAACTGGTACAGAGTTCAAACATAGACAATTCCGAACCATTTGTAAATTGCGTTGGAGTCCTTTTTGTGTCAATTTGTAAGTTAGAAATTATCACCGTAAACTCAAAAATTGGTTCTGTTCCATTAGTGATTCGGTACTGTCTTAATACTGTCATATTTATCTTTAATTTTATCTCTTATCAGAGGTGAAGTGGCACAGCACAGTGCAGAGTCTGATGTAGAATGCAATTTTAAAAATCATCTTAATGAATAAAAAAATGTG